GGGGCCCGAGTCCAGCACTTGGTTTGTGGCACTGGTAGCCATGGGTGTAGGCGCTGCCACCGCTGGTACTATGCTATCGGTGTCGGTGTGTATAATGGAAGTGGACCCGAGCAACGCAGGCCTGTGCCAGTCTATCATACAGTTTACCATCATTGGTATGTTTAACTTGATGTGATTTATTTGCTTTGTTTGTTTATCGTGGTTGTTTTATAGGAGCCGATATTATTAATGGTCTACCTGTGAGTATGTTTGCCGGTGCTTATGGTTGGCGAGCGGTGTTTATTATGGCTGAGATCATGTGCGTTTTGGTGGCCGGGTATCAGCTATTTGTATTACGCTTGTTCAATATTAATAAGGTTAAATCAGAGTAATTTAGCAATGTCTTTTAATTTTTTAATTGGAAAAAATTTGTGTAATATCTTAATTATAAATTTTGTATTAATTATATTTTTAAATGATTACCGATAATAAAAAATTGTTATTTCTGTCTGTATTTTAATAACTACTTGTGATTAATTAGAAATACGTGATTAATACTACTGCTAAGAGTGTAGATTTTAAGGAGCTTGCCAATTTAAATTAAATTTACTAAACTTAAATTTTGTGTATTATTCTAAAAATTTGTAACTTTCTTAATTTCTTAATATGACAAAAACTAAATTATTAATTTGTAACTACATTTAAAATTTTTTAAAATCTGGTTTATTTAAAATTTAATACATTACAGGCTGTAACTTAAAGCTACTCATTCAGTTTTATAATAACTAATGTTAAATTAATTTACAAACGGAGAAACACTTTCTTTGGTATAATCATTAATAAATTATGTAATTATTTTTTTATTTAAAATCTAATTCTTGTTTTAACACTTATTTTTATTATGAGTAATATCAATTAATAAATGTAACTTTAAAAAGTATATTGTTTTTAATTTAAAAATGTTAACTTTAGTTTATATATCATTTATAATAGATAATATTAAAATGTTATAAGGCTAGATTAACAAGCTAAAAACCATATTAATTAATATGGACTTAATTTAAGTTGTATCATTAAATGACTTGCTCATATGTATGTATTATTTCATAATATTCAATGATTGATATTGTAAAATAATATTTTTATATTAAATCCTATTGTGTTTTCAGTCATTTATTAAAGTAAATATCTATTTTTGTGATTATATTAATCAAGATTAAACTAAATTAAACATGAATAAATTAATCTTATTACTATTTGTGGCCCAGTACCTAATAGTAACAAATAAACATAGCTTAAACTTAATAGTGCCACAACTCATTAATGATGGCCTAACCAAACAAGATATAGGTAAATTAAAAATAATAATTAATTATTAAAGAATTTTGTATTTTAATTTTAACCTGGTCATTTATTTAAATATTTAACGATAAGTAAGTAGATATATTGTTATTTTTTAATTATGACATTTTAGTTAATATAAATGTAATCATCATTATCAAATGACTTGTAGTTTATAACCAATATTGTTATTTAGTTAATATAATAAAGGTCTTAAAATAATATTTTATATTAATAAAATTATTTTATTGGGAATAATTGTGTTTAATTAACAACTAAAATATAGTTTTATTATTGTGTTTATATTAATTGAGATCATAATCTTAAAATAAACATGAACAAATTAATTGTATTGTTATTTGTGGCCCAATACCTTATTATTACAAATAAAATGAGCATAAACTTATTTCTACCTCAATTAATTAGTGAAGGTCTCACCAAACAGGAAATAGGTAAATTAAAATTACAGTTTATTTCTATTATAACTAAAAATATAGATTTCTACTTGTAAACATGATCAATTAATTCGTTTAAAATAACTAATTGATAAATTATTAAAATACTGTTTATTTAGTAAATTGTCATCAATATTAGTATTAATAAATACAGTATTTATTTACTATGGTTAATTAATATCACTCAATTTGTACGCAAATACTTATAGTACAATTTGTATATAAACAATTAACTTATTTACAAAAAACAATCTAGGTACAATTAACAGCATTAATAGCATCACTAGCGCTTTGATGATATTCCCGGCCGGCATACTGGCCGACTGGTTGCCCGTCAAATATGTGCTAACGCTGGGCACTGTATTGGGCGGTGTGTCGGGGCTGGCATTCTCACAATCTAGCACTTATAACCAATTTGTTTGCGCATGGTCAGTGCACGGAATCGGCCTAGCATGTTGCCTGGGTCTAATGCCCAAACTAGTCAA